TATTTGGTTGGGGATTTTAGTGGCTCTATGTAAGGCTGGATCCTGCAGGAGGGAAAACAATGGGATTTTTGCTATGGACATCAGTGGCAGCAGGATCAGTGCTGTAGCAAAAACAGGGATTGTCTCTGTTTATATTCAGGGGGTTAAAGTTATTCCTTGGTGGAATACCATTGACTTCAGCAAAATATACCAGGCATGAATTTGCCCCAACTTATCCTTTCCTCCCCAGCTTAAATTCATTGCACCTGCATAAATCCACAGCATCCCGGCTGTTACAGCCAGTGTGGAAGCCTAGGAGAGTGTAAGATGAGATCCACCACCCCTGACCAGTGGCATTTTGCAGCCTTCCCCACCAATTGTCAAGGACCAGTTTCACTCAGTTTCTCCTCTGGCCTGTCGGACATAGCTGTACAGTCTGTGTGCTAGTGGCCCTCCCTCCGCCCAATTCCAAGTAGCCCCCTTTATGGTTTTCCACATCCCATAAAGCAGGCCAGCACAGGCACTCTTCCCACATAGCCTGTGGACACACTTATTGTTCCTAGGACTCCCCAGTAGCAATTGCTGTGGTGGCTTCACTGCTGTGGAGAACTATGCATTGGCCCACTGCAGGATAAGTCAGGTTCAGTCTCTGGCACTAAAACTGGAAATAGTATAAAATAGGACCAAATACTACAGCACTAAATAGTATACATCTTCTTTTTTGTATCAGTAATCTCCATTAAGGTCGGAAGGAGGCTTGTAGAAATACAGTAGTTTACATGCTAAAAAGCAGGCCCAGCTCCAGACCGCTGGAATAGCTTGACTTCTTGCTTGGGCTTTTATTAGTTTGTTTTTTTTTCGCATTGTTTTAACCAAAACCATAGTTTACAGTTCTGGCTTTGTGCCTAGTTGTTCAAAGTCCCAAAATGTGACACGAAATGTTCTGGGTCCTTTAGCAGTTTTGAATAATCAAGCTCATTATGTTCGCTGAGGAAGGTCATGGTTGTGAGTTGCTCTGTCCATGATCTGTAATGCTGCTAGTTTAAAAATGTTCTCCTTTATTAACTTCTCAAGTCAGTGGTGGCAGGCTCCTCAGATGGGTAACTGTTATCTTTGGTTTAGGATCTCCTGAGATTGCTAGACAACAAGGGCTGAAGTCACTGAGAAATGTGAACTTGTGTACGACAGCAGCGCTATTAAACGGCACGGACTTTTGAATAGTGAGTTTGAGTGAGAATCCTTAGAAACTAGCTTTCGCAGCGTCTGTAACTTTTTTAATTGTCCAGCTATCATGTGGTTTACTGTCTCTGAACTATGAAATCTTTTCTGATTATTCTGACATCACTGTCATGTTGCTATAGTGACTTTGTTATACTGGGAATGCTATGTTCGCATCCTGTTTTTGTGGAAAAGATCAGTGTTATAAATAAAAAAAATATTTAAGAGTCCATTCATAGCCATGACGGGTAGTTGTGTCATTAAAATGATGGCGTTTCTGCCTTCAGAGTGACAATGTGTTTTAACAAAACTTTTTTTGTACTGAGTGTTAGGTTAGGGAATTGTCATTTCAAATTCCTCCCAGTTTGTTCCTTCATCCTCTGTACTGTGTTTGATAAGAGTTGTGAAAAGCTAGCTGTAGAAACTAAAAAAGAAAAAAAAGGGTATGTAACTTGAGGTGGGGTTAGTACAGGAAGTACTGTGCTTTCACATGCTGGTTCTAAAAATAATCTATTTTCATACACAGTATTTTCATCAAAGAGTGACGCATCAGGACAAGAGGGATCTTGGTGTCCCATCAGACTAGCATCATCCACGAAAAGTGAGTTTTATATATGTTTTAAAAAGATATTTGCCATATAACATGCAAGTGGAGGATAGCAGAAGCTAAAAGCTTGTCATTGGATGAATCCAGGACCTGTATATGTTTGTTTGTTTTTTTAAATTGGATAGTTTAGTAAGTTTGTGTTGGTATTTGAAGACTAGAGGTTATAATGGGTTTGAAGGCTCAAATTAAACCAAACACGCAACATACTTGTTTCTTGGCTCCAGATTGGCTCCAGAGCAAGCAGCTTTGGTGAGACTTGAGATGGGAGTACCTGCCAAGAGGGGTGTGACGTACTAGAGCGATGTATTTCCAGTGACATGTTAATGTTTTCATTTTGAGACCGGTGTTTACACAATCTATCAAATATAGTTTAAATCTGATACCACGATCTGCAAATAGACAGGGTCATGTAGAATGCTTTGTGGTGTGCTTCATGCATTTTCACTTAGTCTGAGAGCACTGATGGCATAACTAAAAGATGGAAGCTACTTTCAGTGTAGTAGATGAGCATGTTGTATGCCTAAATATTAAGTTGAATCAGTCTTCACGGATAACCAAGCCAAAAAATTAGCTTGCGCGAATAGACCCCAGTAGTATTTTTGTCCTGTGCTCTGTCACAACGCGGTATATTCAGTGTCATGTCAGATTTGTTGGATGTGTCATCTGGAGAGTAAATTAATTCAGGGCAATTTTAGAGAGACTTTAAAACTGGTCTATACATAGACTTCTGCTCTGTTCCAGACAAGCTCTCTGTCCTTATAGACAACATTAAGCAACCAACCACTAATTTAGTTATTTTTGAAAAGGATCCTAGTATTTTGGTTTTGAGGAATGTCAAGTTGCCTCCCTTTTTTGGTGACACAGGAGGTGAATCTTTTGCACACACTTCAGGCTTGACTCTTTACTCTCATGTTTGGAGAAGGGTTTGCAGAGCTGGCTGCGTAGGATCCAGGATTCTTCCCTGATTCTGGGTTGCTTGGAGCTGCGCTGGTCGGTTCACAGGGTTCAAGAGATGCACTCCTACTCCCTTTACCTATGTGCCATCAGCTTTACGGTTCTGAAGCAGCCAAGTGACTAGGTCCTGGTATTTCAAGGTTGCTACTCAAGGCATAAAGTGCTCTGAGTAATGAGGTCATTAGTCTTATTGAGGTGTGGAAAGCTTAGTGCAGGCTGTTGCTCCAAGTAGTGAGCAGAATTTACCAAGTTTTAAGTACATATTCCAGGGAAGTGTGTAGCTTACTTTCAGCCCTGAGGCTGTTTACTTAGGAGTACCCTGTACTTAAATTGACTTAGCTAGCCTAGCATACTTGAGGGCATGGACTGAAGAAACAGGCTGCTGTGAAGGGGTTGGTGGGGAGGGGTAATGCATTCACGGTAACTGCTTTCTCTGTCTGCTTTTGACCCACAGTCATTTTTTTTCTCTTGTTTCATTCAGGGGTGAATTACTGTGGTTTAGTTGCACTTTGGGTTAGGAACAGAAAGACAAGAGAGTTGCATTGGATCAGTCTATGTGTGGGTTCCTGATGGTAACGTGTCCTTCTTTACAAACTGCATTTAGTATGTTCACACCCTCAGTTTGGTCCTAAATAAATAAATACTTTCCCATGTAGACCCACTTGCCTTTGTAAGGGGATTTTTTTTCCTCTCTGGAGTATTAGTTGTTTGATGTTCTTTTATGTTATGCTGAGATTGCGTATTGACCTTTTTGTGTTTCTTTTATGTTTTTAGTCTGATTAAACTTGTTACTTTCTGTTGAAGAGGACCTATCTAGTAGCATAAGTGTATGTTAGGGTTCAGCTGGTATTGCCTGCGCTCTTGACCTGCTGTTGTTACCATAAACGCTTCCTTGTGTGGTGTTGCTTTATGTGACTGCAAGATGGGAATCATTCCTTAGTTTTGATTGCAGTTCACTAAATCCAGAAGAAGCTCATGGTTCTTTTTTTGATGAAGCTAATTGAAATGTTTTTCAGTAATTAACATGAGGATAGGAAATTAAGTATAACTATAGTGGCCCCTTCTCCTTGGAAGGATGTTTAGTAAGCAACATAGTTCTTAATAGTCAACTTCAGTTATTCACCAACTTTGTTTAGACTTCTGAGCTTAGACACTTGACCCTCTGCCTCCAGTAAGGGTGTCAAAAACTGGAAAGGAATTTCAACTTGTTCGATACAATCTGCTTATATTCAGGCACTAAACCTGCCACCCATACATTGGAGGTGTTCCTGTATGGGTGGCAATCAAGCCCTGGGAATATTTCATTAATTTGCTGAACTACAACATCAGCTCTGCAATGGAAATTGAGTTCCTAAATGCCAACACTTTAAATGAGTTTCTCTTTGAAGTATTTTCTTATACAATTAGTTCAGGGAATAGCTCTTCATCATAATGTTACGTCATGGGATGGAAATACAGCTTCATAAGGTTTTGACTGTTATTGGATATAATTGAAAATGTAATATGCTTTCTGGTGCTAACATGAACAAGAACCAAGTTCACTGTATTTCAGAAAGTGAAAACCTGTTAAGTAGAGCGTAAAACATTGTGGAAGATGCATTTATTCCAATCCTACACATATTAGAGATAAATCCCTGCGATTTTAACTAGATCAGACCAATAGAAGGGATATAACTGTGTGCACAAAATGTTTTCTAGCGTGGTTGATTTCTTAAAGCTGTACCATTACAAATACTGTACTAATCTCTTCTCCTCCATGCTTGGAAGCTAAAAACAGGAGTTTTTTGACAAGTCACAGACCGGCACATTCGTGCTCCCATCATGCTGAATTCTTACTTCTGAGCTTTTGGATGTAAGATATGTCACGCAGGATTTGACTGGTGGGGTAGCTAGTCCAATATGCCATCTTTAACAGTGACCCATATTAACTGTAAAAAAACCAAAACAACCCCTCCCCACCAACATGGAGAATTGTGAAATCGCCTATCTTGGACGGGGTCAGGTGTGATTTATTTTCTCTTCAAATTTACTTTAATCCTAGCTAACATAACTATGGATATTACTGTTTTTTAATATAGATTTAGACGTGTTTAGTCCAGCAGACAAACCAAATGAAATAATTTCATTACCAATCTGCCAGAATGTCCAGCATACCTCCGTCCCAAATTCAAGTTGAAATAATGCATTTCATATTTGGATCTCCCCTTGTGGTTGCGCCAGTTTTAATTTTCTTCCAACACTATCCCTTGACACACAGGCAAGTTACCATAGAAATGGGTACTTATTTGGATATGTGAGATTGCTAAATTTGACCGTCTGATCATTTTAATTGGGGAAAGTGCAACAGACTCAAGTTCATTTTGCTCTTGCGATGACCTCTGGTCTTGCAGAATTAGGTAGGAGTTCTCATGGTTTCATCTTCTGACCAGCTGTGGTCCTGAACTGGTTTCCCCAAAGATCCTCTCCTGCTCTTCATTCTAGAACCACTGTTTCTCTTCAACACCTCTTTGGAATACAGTATACTATGTTCATACATATACCAGTTAAAAGTCTCATTTCTTTAACTGCCTGACATGATGCCAGTTGTACTTTTTTGGTAGTACTTGTACTGTATCAAGCTTCGGTTATCTGCATATCTCGTAAGTAGATAACCTGCATAAGCACCTAGCATCTTGCAGTTCCTGTGTTTACTCTGTCATGCAATTCTGCACTGTTTAATTGCATGCGTATTTGTACCGACAATGGGGAAGCAAAGGCTGCTTGCCCCAGAGCTGCTATTAGAAGCCGTGAAAAGGACCCAAGTGAGTCAGTGTTAGCTCTGCTATCCATCCCCATGGGCTAGGCTGCTGGGTGCCACTATGAACTGACTAGTAGCAGCCTTGAAAAGAATGGGAGCTACTTGCTTTCAGGGCTGCTAATACCACAGCACTGACAGGACTGTACATCCCTGCATAGTCTCTCCTCAGTCCTGAAGCCATGCACTTAAATGGAATACACTGGACTTCCATAGAAGTTCCTGTATGACCTTAGAGAGGCAATGGTCCAGACAGCTAACATCTCATGTTTTAAATCCCGAGATTAGAGAGAGGGGAAAAAAAGCAAAAAAATAAAAAAGTGTCCCATATAGGGTTGTGTTGATTGAGATTGCATGGCTAGGGATGAGTGTGGGCCCATTGCTCCCTTCCTGAGCAGTGGTGTGGAAAGCAGGCATGTATCATAAGACCTGTGTTGATTCCTTGAATGTGGTGAGTTTTTTCCCTTTCTAATTAGGTTTTCACAGTTCATCCTTTGCAGAGGGGATGGCTTTTGTCTATTCTATAAAAGCTGCTTTCTAAACCTTTTTTCCCCTAGCAACATAGAATAAACATGTCTCTTGAGTCTTAGAAAAGCCATGTAGAGGCTGTTATGCAGTTAGCGTATTGAGTGTCATGTTTACTGGCCCAAACAGTATTTGTTCTTATAATACACGACTTTAGGGATAAAACCAGGTTATAGACTATAAATCGTGTTGTCTCCATTCTGCTTCTCAGAGAATCTCCAGCATTTGAAACAACTACAAGATTAAATAGCATTAATCTAAGCTGTAAGACTCCAGCTGAATATGTTCCAAGTTGATTTGGTAGTGCTTTTCCTAATAAATGTCCAAGCAGGCCATGGCAGAGGATCATCAATGGTCAAATGAGACATGTTATAGGGTAATGGTTCAGAGTGGTACAGGGGTGTGGAGGGGGAGGTATTGCAGACCGCTTATTTTTGGGGTACAATGCCTGGCATGTGCTAAAAATGATCTTTCAAACTAAGCATAATGTGTTAGGCAAAGCAGACATGAGACAAGTTCACCCTGCAGTATTGAAAGCAAAGGAAATAGAGTGTGTTTAAGTCATTAACATTATTATTAGTTAATTGCCAAAGTAGCCTTTAAGCATGCAGATATTTAAAAAAAATGCTGTTAAAAGGTGCCTGACATACTGCTTTTCCTCTATCCCACGCCTATCACACAAGGATTAATTTTCATTAGTATGTTTTAGGTGTCTGACTTA